TGTGACTTGTTCCGTTCAGTAAACAATAATTATTTAAATAGTTCTAAACATAATCACTTCCATTGGGAAAACACATCCTGCTTAAAATTGCGCTTTCATAATAAGTATTTACTAATCACAAAAACTGTAGTTGAGCAAATACTGTTGTATAAAAGTTAATGAGTCATGTACCAGTATTTTCAAAGAAAATTATTTCTAATAGTGCATGAAAGACTTATATGCAAAGACTAGACCTGTGGGTTTTCAACATAAAAAACAAAGCAAAAAAACCCATTAATAATAAGGCAATCACCCCTACACAATATCATAGTCTTCCTAGGACTAGGAAACATACTCATGAAAGTAACCAATTTTAAAAACAACTTAAACATACACAACTAAATCCAAGATCAAATAATTCAGATTCAAGAAACTTCAAATAGTTCATTTTTAATGCAAAATACTTATGAAAGATAACCTTCAAATTTCCAGTTCTGTCGTTATAGAAGCACTGGCCTAAGATATTCAGGGCTCCTTTAAACATCTTTGGTGGCTTGATAACAGCAATTTAACATTCTGAGCCCTAAACTTATTCCAAAATCCAGTGACCAGATGAATATAGTAGATTAACAATTACTGCAATCGAGGCAACAATAAAACACGTTTTATTTCTTCTGCTTTATACTGCCTGTCGATGCAGAGAATAATACATTTAAAAATATGACAGAATACTATACAATTTAAACCTGAATAGTCACTTTGTTTTCCTTTGACTACTGGGGTTTTCGACAATGACAAAATGAAAGGAATCAAATTAGTTTGGGAAAGATGTTAAAAATTACTTTACAATAGCAGCTTGGAGGCAGAATGGTCCTTTCAGATATTAAAAACATTTGGTCGGCTGTCGCGTGAATTTTCAAGACCTGGACTCAAAGTACCATTATAATTAACAGGTGGGGCAAGTTAAGAAGGAAGCAACAGTGGGTCTTCTGAAAACTTGTGAGAAGCTGCCTGACAGACGCATAAGGAGACAGGCCGATTATAAACTTACTAAGGCTCAACAGTAATCTAAAATTCTCTATCAAGCTTGAAAGGGATAAAGCACAGCATCCTACCACATTCCCAGGGCATTTTATTCAGCACTTCAAGATAAACTGGTAAAAACTACGATGAAAAATGTCTAAAAGAAGTCTTCTATGTCAGAAATCATAGGTGGAAGCACTACCTCACAATGTAATTCTAAAAATTACTTATCAGGGGATCCCTGGGTGGTTCAGCAGTCTGGCACCTGCCTTTAGCCCGGGGCGTGATCCTGGAGTCCCAGGATCGAGTCCCACATCAGGCTCCCTGCATGGAGCCTGCTTCTTCCTCTGCCAGTGTCTCTGCCTCTCTCTCTCTCTCTCTCTCTGTGTCTATCATAGATAAATAAATCTTTAAAAAAAATTACTTATCAAAATAAACAAATTTGTCCAGACTAAAGACAAATTCAAAAAGAATTTTGAATTATTTTTTAAAAAACTGTTTGCAAAGCAAATACTTTCTTCTAAGTATCTACCTTATTTGAAACATTGTAATTTCAATCTAAAAACATATAGCCTTCATTCTCTTCAACTTCACTTTACTCACTGAAATAGGTTCTAAGGCAAATGATCTCTCCTTCTTTAGCCTGGCAGCTTCTTCCTTGAGTTTGGGAGGTCACAAAGAACAGCTCTAAAATAAGCATTTATATTGATCCACTTCCATGATTATATTTACTTAAAACCCATGGTCTCCTTCTGAGAATTTGAGGGGGTGAATTTTTACAAAGCATAGAATGCCAACCAAAATAGAAGGCCAGTTAACAGTACTCATCCTTTCCTCTATTACAAAAATTCTGAACAGTGGAATTTTGTTTATAAAATGCAGCGTACATTTTATCATCCTGGATAAAATATCTACAGCCTTGGTAGTGGTTAAATTGCAGCTATAAAGGAAATTGTCCCGAGATAAATGGTTTCCCTATGAGAAGGTTTCACTGCTACACTTCACCTCAGGACAATAAATCAAATTAACTGCACCTTGTCCTCAGTCCAATGACATCATCAGTTTGACCACATCTTGGGAATCGGGTGCAAAAACATACGCTATTTAAGGCATGAAATCATATTACTGCTTTTTGTCCATTCGACCTCATGCTTCAAGTCTCTGAAGCAGTCATTCACCTGAACATTCACATGAAAGCTACAGACTTTTTTCCCTGCTGCATTCAGGGCCTGCCTAGTGGAGGTGAAAAAGGAAAAAATGATAAGAACTGGTCATTGGAAACTGGCTTGCTTTTAGCCCATCAAATCTACAATTTTGTTACAAATTAAACTGAAGACTAATGTCTTCCAAAATATGTACCTAGCAACTGACCATAAAGTGCCTTATATTTTCAAAGGTTTAACACATCAATGCTAAATAACACTTCTCTGGTACTTTACTAATAGGGTAAAAAAACCACCAATGAGAAGCAACGCTGTTTAAAAACAAACACAAAAACAAAAAAACACACTAAAACTATGTAAAATAAAAAAGAAAACTTTAACAAGGGAAAGACCAAAAATGAAAATTACTGTTTCTTCTGAATTATGGAAGTTAGCCTGACTTTCACAGACCAACTGTCCTAATTCTACATAAAACATAAAATCAATTCTGACAACTTAAAGAGGGGTGGGTGTGCTGGGAGAAGAATAAGTTACAAGATCAGGGTAGACACAATGCCCATGTTTATTATTCTACCATGTTCACTCCTTTAACCATGACACAAATACTTAAAGAAAACATAACCCCATTTCTGTTTTTAGGAGTGCTACCATTAAAATAAGCAAACCTTAACAGGGATAATAGCACAAAATTAATATCAGCCATCTTTTAAATTAGAATGAAGAAGTTGAAAAGGAAATGCAGCACTGAGACATTCTGAAAGTGCTGTTAATTGGAACTTCTAAAACATTTATTCTACAACTCCTAGGAAAAAACTATGGGTTTTACAAATACTGCAGACCTTTACAAAGCCTGAAAGTGTTTAACTTGGAGGTAGAAGTCAAGGGGCAGGGGAGAACTATCACCAAAGTAAAGTGATTTATTTGTATGAAATCAAAATAGGTTTCAGTCGCCTCTGAAAATGAGAAGATTTTCTTTCCTTAGGCCTAATATTACTGCAAACTGTAAGAAAGTCTTTTTAAGAGAAAACAAAACACGACAGAGTTGAAGCTTAGCTAGGAGCTGCTTTACTGCTGGTTAAGGCCCCAGGAGGGTTTGTTTTGCCCGCGGAGGACGGGTCTGTGTATGGAAGTTGGTAGGGGAAAGTCATTTTGGTTATTAGTAAATAAATCAAGCGGCAGAGAATGAGGCCTAGGCAACTGCTAGAGGAGCCAAGGCCTAGCTCTCCCCCTGCTCTTCCCAGCACAGCCTGGGTTTGATCTCAGAGCCCCGTGGATTGCCAAGGAAAAAAAAAAAAAAAGAATCATATCGAACCACAAAAGCACATGGGGCGAATGTAAAATATAAACACGGCGTTGGGCTGTGAGTGGCTGTTATTAAAGGTCTGAATTACTAAACATGAGAGGCGGGGAAAGCCAGGCGGCCATTTCAATAATATAAACCTCCCCGAATTAGACATTATTCAAATGAGAGAGGTTCGGCTAAGCCGAGAGTAGAGAGGACCCAGCACCCAGCAAGAAACCGACACCACAGGACCGGGGAGGGGATCCCCGCCCCTACCTAACTCCCCCCAGGAGAGGGGAAATCTAGCATATTATCAACTTGTCAGGCCAGCCGGTTCTGGGGCAGGGGCAGGAGGGCAGCCCTCTCTACATCCAAGTTCCTGAGAGGCCTCCGGGTGCTCCTGGGGCCTGAGAGCCAGAGGCCCCCGAGGGCCCCCGGTCCCGTCCGCCCGGGTTGGGCGCGGGGGCGGGCGCGGGGGCGGGGGCGGGGGCGCGGGAAGGGGCGGGGGGGAACGGAGATCAGACCACGCCAGACGCCTCCAGCCAACTCCCCAGGGAAAGCACGACCCACGGGGACCGCTGACCGACGGTCCGGAACACATGGGGCTGCCCCGGAGGGCATCCCCCTCCGAGGGGAACTTTCCACGAGGGCCGCCTTCCCAGCCCGTCCGCCCCGGAGGGGGCGAGGCGGACCCCTGCGCGGGCTCCCCACCCCCGCCGCCCCGAGGCCACCTCACAGCGCCCACGACCGCTTGCCCCTACCCACCTAGGGCGCAGGCCCGGTTCAGGTCAGGCCGCCACACGGGGGACAAGCGGGGCGCGGCCGAGGTGCCCGGGGCCGTGACCCCCGGGCTCAGCCCCGCTCCGACCCCCGTGCGGCGGCGGGGCGCGGGCAGAACGCTCTCCCCGGGCGCACCCCCGGGCACCCCCGGGCGCCCTCCGGGCCGAGCCCCCCCCCCCCGCCCGGGCCCTCTCCCGGGGGGGACGCGTGTGGCTGTCCGGCCGCCGGGGTCCGCTCCGGCCCCGCCGCCTCCCCGGCATTGTGCTCGCCGCCACCTCCATCCCCCTCCACGCCCCCCCCCACCCCGCGCCCGCCCGGCCCGGGTCGCCCGCCCGCGCCCCGCCGGCCCAGCGGCTATGAATATGTAAAATGTCTTTATTGTCCTCTCCCTGTGCCCCGGCCCCGCGGCCCCGCCGTGGACCCGCTCGGGTTCGGGCACGGCGGCGAAGAGGCGGCGGCGGCCGCGGAGGAGGAGGGCCGGTGCCGGCGGGCGGGCGAGCGGCGGCGGCGGCGGCGGGGTGGGCCGGGGGCAGGAGGAGGGCGGTGGATCGCAGCCCCCTTTGCCCCTTGTCTTCCCCCTCCGCCTGGCCGCTCCGAGCCTCTTTTGCCCTCCGTTCGGCGCCCGGCGGGGGCTCCGTGCTCCCCGGCCCCCCATCTCCCCGCCGTTAATTATAATAATCCTGAGTACTAATAAATTATGCTAAGTCGCGGGGGGGGCAGCGGGAGCCGGGGTTGAGTATGAATATGAATATGTAAAATGCTGTAATGATTACCTGCTGCTGCTGCCGCCGCGGCTGAACTCTCATCTTGACTCGCTGCTCCTCCGTCCGCCATTTTGAATATTTTAACCAAAATCGCCCGGTCGATAAACCCTCCCTCGCTCCGGCTCCCCTCCCCCCTCCCGCCCTTCGTGCCTCCTCCCTCCTCTCCGCCCCCTCCCGCTCCTTCCTCTCCCCGGGCTCGCGCCAGGGGGCGCGCGAGGCCGTCCCCTTGGAGGAGCCCCACCCCTTCGGGCGCTCTGCGCACGCGCCCCCGGGTCGCCGTGGCTCTCCAGTAGCTAAAGCGCCCTCAACCTGCCAGTCACCCCTTTGCTGCACTTGCCCCCCCGCCCCCCGCCCCTCTCGGCTCTGCACATGCGCAACGCTTTCCACGCGCCTGAGATGCAGGCGGCGCATGCGTTACCTCTCCTGGGCTCCTTCTTGAAGCGTAACCTGTGTAGCACGTTGAGCATTCGTCCCTTCTTACTATCCCCGCTCTCCTCCCGCCTCACTGCCCTCCCAGCCTCCCTCCGACGTTCCCCAATGGACAGTGGCATTTTGAAAGAAGGGCAGGGGGCACGGCGGCCCAGAGCGTGGAAACGCGTGGAGTACCCGCGGGCAGGACCAGCCCCGGCGTCCCCTCCGCTGCGCGCTTTTTAAGGCTTTCCGCGCAGTTGAACCTCTGACAACAAAGGAGGGGCAGCTCCCCCGCTAGGTAATTTCCGGCCCGGTGGGCAGGTAGGGGCGGAAACGCCCGCCGCGGGGAGCCGGGCTGGAGGCACCTGCTGAGCTCTGCGCGCGCGTCCCGCTTTAAATTTGAATCCTAACGAGTCCCCGCCCCCAGCTCCGCGAATGCTGGAGACCCGGCCGGGCGAGCGCGCGGGGGAGCGTCTCGTGCTGGTTTTAATTAGCCTCCCATCCCTTCTGCTCTACTTGTTTGTAACCCCCGGTCGCTTCTGGGGCGCCGGACGCTCCAGTGGCCCGTGCCTGCCCCTGCCCTTGGCGGGGTTTTCCTGCGCCCCGATCGCAGCTCGCCCGACGGGAGCGCGTAGCCGGCGCCCTGGGCCGTGGGAAGCCGTTCTCCCCTGACTTTGGCTTGGGAACATACTTAAAACCTAGCCGTAAACTGGAAACTGATGACCTTAAAAAATCAATCTATCAATCAATCAGTCTCGAAATCAGCGGTAGCCTCATCCAGAATGTCACTGTTTCTCAGAGCAAATAATAGCAGGCGTTTTGTGTTGTAGATCTCTTGTATTTCAGTCATGTTCTAAGATTTATCTTTAAAGGTAAATTTCCCTGGACAAGACCCAGGTCAATTATTTTTACAATTTCTTTTTAAAAAAAGCCCTAAGATTTTTCCAGTTTGGGTTTTTGTTTGTTTGTTTTTTGGTCTTTGTTTTTGAGGCTGAATAGAATAGCATCTCTCCTAAGGGAAGTTAGAAAAAAAGAAATTCAGGAGGGCCCTGGGCGGCTCAGTGGGTTGAGTCTGTGATTCCTGATTTCAGCGTCCTGAGTTCAAGCCCCACTTTTGGTGTAGAGCTTAGTTGTTTTGTTTGTTTGTTTAATAAAAAAGAAATTCAATCCTAGATTGTCTTGAGAGAAATGACTGTAAAGTTTAAATGGAGTAGAATTGCCGATTCCACATAAAAGAAAAACGGATCTCTAAGAGAGCGGTTATTCTAACGGCTAAAGTTTTAATCACGGGTCTTAGCCTCCTCATTGAATTCCTTACACTGTGCGAGTACAGATGAAGCTATTGTCAGTGACAGCCAATGAATTTGGGGTGGGATTGATTTATTCATGGTAATTAAGCCGTAGGGTGTGTGCTTGACTGTGCAAACCAAATAATTGGGCCACCATATAATCTAATTATTTCAAGCCACGCCAACCAACACACAGTTAAGGAAATGCAAATTTCAATGCTGTTACAATTAATCCGGAAATATAGCCTAAGTTATATTCACCGGCATTACCATAAGGGAAGTCTCAAAATCTTCAACCTATTTGAAGCAAAGTTAATTACAGGTCCCTGCTCTGAGGGCAAGGAAATACCTCCACTAAGAAAAAGAACCTAAATACTTAAATTCCTATCTTCTGTCTTGATCTTTGTTTTGCTCTTTAGTTTAAAAAAGCAAATTAATATGACTCTCAGAAAGTACTTGAAGCCTGTGCATGTGCTATTCATTCTTTATCTCATTTCCATAAAAAGAAATTTTCATAGAATGAATTTTTATTTAAGGAAGAATAGCTCTGTGAGGAAAAAAACAGTTTAAAATAGTCTATATCAATGATTCATTTTCCTCCTAATGAAAACGTTTATGCCTGGGCATAGTAGGTATTCATAAATATTTGCTGAATAAAAATAATGAATAATACAGTTATATATGTTAGGATTATTTTTTAAAAATGATTAAGTCATTTATTCAACAAATATTTATGAACATCTGCATTCTGCCATCAACTTTACTAAGTGATAAAAATAAAAAATGTAGAAAACACTGCTTTGACCTCAGCAAACTCTGTGTATCAGTTATTTTTTTTAATCCTCACAACTCTGGAAGGTAGAAACTGTTAATCCCAATTTTCCAGGTTGAGGAAATTGAGACACAGAGATGTTACATTACATTACTTGCCTTTATTGGGGTTTTCCAGAGAAACAAAACCAATGGAATATATATATATATATGTATATATATATATATATATATATATATATATATATATATATATGAATGACTTTCATTATGCAGTTGACACTTGAACAAGGCAGGGTTTAGGATTACTGACCCTCCCAAGCAAGTGAAAGTTCAAGTATAGCTTTTAATTCCTCAAAAACTTAACTACTAACAGCCTACTGTTGACTGGGGAAGCCTTACCAATAACATAAATAGTCAAACAGTGAATTAACACTATTTTGTGTATTATATGAATTATAAATAAATATACCACATTTTATGTGTTATTTGTATGTTATATATATTGTGTTACTGAATTCTTACAATAAAGTAAGCTAGAGAAAAAATGCTATTAAAATCATAAGGAAAAGAAAATACATTTACAGTACTCTATGATAAAAAAAAATTCATGTAAAAGTAGACCTGCACACTTCAAACCCATGTTGTTCAAGGACCAACTGTATATATGAACGAGATTTGTTATAAGGAATTTACTTATACAGTTTTGGAGGTTGAGAAGTCACTTTATGTTCCTTCTACCATTATCCCATACCCTTAATATCCATCCTCACACGTGTTCCCCAGATTTCTGTCTGTATACATTAGAAAACTCATGCAGTTCTTTTGGAATGTAGCGTCTCTCCTCACAAGTCAGATGATGGGGAGCTCAGGTCTCATGGTAATTTGGTGGCTATGATTAAGCATTCAGTCTCTCCTAAGGTCTAGCAGCAGGCCAAGAGCTATTTTTCAAAAGGAGAATAGTTATCCATAGAGGATGTCAGGCTTTGTTCTAAAATCCTGAGTCTGAGCTGCAGGTCACCTGTTGAGACCTGCCAGAGACTCCTAGTAGCTTCCTTACCTGCCACTGACACTTCAAGCACCATTGGATCTGCTGCATCATATGGTGGAAATGGCAGAGCAGCTTGCACAGCACTCTGGACATATTACAGAGTCTTCTCATTCAGCAGCTTTTTGAGTCACTTGGAAAATAGGTTGGAATAATTAATACACTCCAATGGAATATGTTGCCTCCAAAATCCAAAGAGTTCCACTCAGCATTGTGCCTCTTTTTTTTACTGTAAGAGAGGCCAAATGTAACAACTTATCCATTACCTTAGAAGGGATATCTTGACATGCCTCACACTACTGGATTCCCCCCAAATTTCACTGAGATAGAAGGCCCCTCAATTTGTGCCAGATTTATTTCCAATGTCTTAACAATAAGCCTACTGTGGGTACTGCTTCTTGCTCACCATGTCCAATCAGCATGATATCATCAGTGTAATGGATTAGTGTGACAACCTGTGGAAGGGAAAGGAGATCAAGATTCCCATGAATTAAATTAGAACATAGAGCTGGAAAGTTGATATACCTCTGAGGTGGGACAGGAAAGGTAGAATGCTGGCCTTGCCAGCCGAAAGCAAACTGCTTTTGGTGGTTCTTCTTGACAGGGCTAAAGAAAAAAGCATGCCAGCCCAATAGCTGCATATCAGTTTCCAGGATATGTGTTAATTTGCTCAAACAACAAAACCACATATGGTATAGCAGCTGCAAGTACAGCCACCACTAATTCAGTTTAACAATAATCCACTATCATTCTCTAAGATCCACCTGTCTTCTGTACAAACCACATAGGAGAGTTAAATGGGGATGTGGTGGGAACGACCACCCCTACATCTTTCAAATCCTTGATGGTGGCACTAATCCCTGCAATCCCTCCAATATGCAGTGTTGCTTTTAGTGTATTATTTTCCTAAATACAAGTAGATCTAGTGGCTTCCATATGGCCTTTCCTGCTATAATAGTCTCACTCCACAGGTCAGGGAACCAACATGGGGATCCTGCCAGTTGCTTCAATTTTTCAGGACGGGGAAAACTGAGGCATAGAGATGTGAAGTAACTTGCCTAATGCCACATCACTATTGAAAAGTATACAGTCCAGGAACTTACTCTTCATGGTACCAGTCTGCTACTTGCTTTGAATCAGGCAAAATCCTGGAGGTTCATATATTTCAATGTGGGAAGAGAACATATTAATGGTTAGGTCCTTGTATGTAATCTCATCATAATAAAAACATAGATATGGGTGAAAACTTACATTCACACAAAAACATACATAAATAGCAGCTCTGTTACAACTGTCAAAAACTAGAAACAATCCAAATGTCCTTCTGCAGGTGAATGAATAAACAAACAGGGATACCTGCATGCTGTGGAATACTATTAGGCAACAAAAAGGGATGAACTACCAACACAACAACTTCAACGAATCTCAAAGGCATTGTGCTGAGTGAAAGAAGGCAGTCCCAAAAGGAATCCTACTATCTGATTCCATTTGTACGACATTCTTGAAATCCCAAAACTATGGTGATGGAAAACAGATGAGTGGTT